TTTTCAGAAAAATATAACTTTCCAAAAATAACTGAAAGACAGGGGTACTGTCTTTCAACCATTAAAGAAATTCAACTTTCCACAAAGAAATTCCAAGGCCAGGTTATTTTACAGGTGAATTCTCCCCAATATTCAAGGAACAAACAATCCCCATTTCTCACGAGCTATGCCACGATACAGCAAAGGGGGCACAGCGCCCGACGCACCTGATCCGGGCATCCGAGCGCCGCAGTCCGACCAGGGCGTGCAAGGGAGGAAGATCGGGGGCCCGAGACACCGACACAAAAGTCCTAAACAAGGTACTGATAACCCAAACCCACCAATGTACAGAAAGGGCCACACCAGAGGACCAAGCTGGTATTTTTCCAAGAAGAGATGGTTAATGTTTGCAAATCAATTTATGTAAATTATCACACTAGCAATGGAAGGAGAATCACATAATGCTCTTAATAAAAGCTTCCCATTATATTCAACACCCACTAATAACTTTTTTAAAAAGTCTTAGCAAGCCATGAATAGGATGGGATTTTTTGACTTCATTAAGTGTACCTACAGAAAGTTGCAGCACACATTGTACATGATGGTGAAACTGAAAATTTTCCTTAAGGTCAGAACAAAACAAGGGTATCCACACAACTACTTCTAGTCAACCTTGTACTTTGATGGTCGGCAAGGCAAGAAAAAAAGGCATGTAGAAAGAGACACATTTGTCATTTTCGAAAGATAAAAATATACACTTAGAAAAATGCAAAAAAAAAATCTATAGATAAGCTGTTAGGTTAAAAAATAGTAAAATTACTAGCTTCAAAAATCAACTGAATTTCTATACTGCATAACAAACATAATGAAAAGATGACTTTTACTATGACATCTAAAATGCAAACATCTAGGAATAAAACCACATACCAGGAAGAAATGTTCATAATCTGTGTATCTGACAAAAGACATCCACCTAAACTGCATAAATAATTCCCACAACTCGGCCAGGTACAGCGGCTCATGCCTGTAGTCTCAGCACTTTGGGGAGGCCGAAGTGGAAGGATCCCCTGAGGCCAGGAGTTCGACACCAGCCTGAGTAACACAGCAAGATCTCACCTCTACCAAAAATTTTTAAATATTAGCCGGGTGTGGTGGCGCATGCCTGTAGTCCCAGCTACTCAGGAGGCTGGGGCAGGAGGATCACGTGAGCTCAGGAATTGGAGGCTGCAGTGAGCTGTAATGACGCCACTGCACTCTAGCCTGGGGGACAGAGCGAGATTCTGTCTCAAAAATATAAATAAATAAATAAATACATACATACATACATAAAATTCCCACAAATCCACAAGAAGAAGACAGTAGCCAATTAAAAAACTAGACCTGACCAATGCTCCATGAAAATAAAGGAATAACCAATAAGCACATGAGAAACCAATAAGCACATCCTCAACACCCCAGGTAAATACAGAGTAAAACCCTAAGGGAAAACCATCACACAGCTGTCAGCATGGCTAAAATGGGAAAAAAAACAAAACAGAAAACCCAGATAATACAGAACGCCACTCAAAACAGCTGGTGGGAGAGGAGGACAGTGCCACTGCTTCAGAACCTGGCAGTTTCTTACCCAGGTGAACAAACGCACACCTCCCCTATGGCCAGTTCTTACCAAAGAGCAGTGAAAACATGTGTCCACCAAAAGCCCTGTGCAGGAAAGGTCAAAGCAGCTGCAAACACACTAACCCCAAACTGGGAAGAACCCAGATGCCCATCGGCAGGAGCAGGTTAGACAAGGTGCGGTCTGTTCTCATAAGGGAATATCACGCAACAGTCGAAGGAAAGAACTACTGACAACGCGGCGCACAGGCGGGTCGCACACGCACTGAGCAGCATGTTCCAGAACCGTGATGGGGAGGCGGCAACCACAGGACTGACTGGGGAGGTACCCGGGGCCCTCAGGTGAGCCAAGGACCAGGGTTTGTGGAGGTGAATATGCCAATAAGTGATAAGCATGAGAAAAGGCCTCAAAGAATTTAAAATTGAATTAACCACCTTCAGTAGGAAAAATAAATCAAGTGGGAGGTACAAGGGCCCCAGATGGCCAAGTCCCTGCTAGAGAGCGGGCAGGGGCCTGCTCCGTGGCGGGCGCCCAGGAGGAAGCTCTGGGAATCCCGGCAGCGGGGCGCAGACGGACGGGGCAGAGGCGGGTGCTGACCCCTGCCCTGTGGACACTGCCCGACGACCCACCGCAGCGGCCCGCCGAGGAGAAGTGCTGCTGGGGACAGCGTGGGCCCACGGGTGCTGCAAGGGAACCAGGACGCCGGGCCACCCTCACCTGACAGCCCAGTGCGCCGGCACAAGGCTCCTGGGGCCAGAGACCTCTCCCACCACCTCCAAGGAAGGAAGGCGAACTGAAACAAGAGCAACGCCAGAGCCCACGATCGATGAGAGTGCACCGGGCTGACATTGCGAGTGCATCAGAAGCCGGCGCAGGGAGCGCGAGACGCTCGTCACTGCGAGAGGGCATTTGCAACACATTTAGCCAAAAAAGGATCACTGTCCCTAAAGAAACTGCTGAGACTCAAGCAGAAAGAAAAGGAAAAGTTGGCAGAAGAAATGAACAGGAATGTCACTGATGAGGAAGTACAAATGGCCTAAATTAGTAATCAGAGAAACTCAAATTAAAACCGTAATACCATTTCACACCCACTGCATTGGCAAAAACTGAAAGTCAGACAAGTGCTGGCAAAAATGCAAAGCAATGGAGACTCACATCCCCGCTGGTGGGGGCTGGAGTTGGCACAACCACTCCGGGAAACTGCCCAGTAGTACGCTGCGTGCATACCTCACACCCCTAAATCCTGCTCCCTGGGGCACGTGCTCAAGACTCGCCCTGCCCGTCCGCAGGGAGAGGCTCGCGCAGAGGACGGGTACAGAACGTCTACAGCAGCACGTTCGTAACCAGCCAGAAACTGGAGGCAGGCCAAGGCCCCTTGACAGAAGCAGGGATGCACCAGGGACACCTCGGAGCGGTGAACACGCCCACAGCCGTCAGCACAGACGCGGCTCGGAAACTGAAAGACTGGGCAAAATCGAGAAGTAGGAATGACCACAGGGAGAAGGGAATCTTTTGCGTAAAGTCCTCAAATGAGGAAACCTAAGTCACAAGGTGCATGTACAGGTGGCCCAGGCATAAAGCAAGGCTGGAGAGGACAGGTACGGGCAGGAGTCCATAACAGACCTGCACCTGCCCACTCCCAGCTGCTCCCCAGCCCCTCGGCCGTCAGCTCCCCACCTGCTGTCCTCCTGCCTCGCCCTTGCTCCCATACCCCGTCCAGGCCAGAGCCCCAGAACACTCAGGACCCAGTGCTGCCCTGCCCCCACACCCGCCTCCTCAAGTCATCTCCGCACAGACACAGAGTGGGCTTTCCAGACCCTCCTAGAACAGAGCTCAGCTCCAGAGCACAGCTGAGAAGGCCCCTAGCCCCTCCTGCCACACTTCCCCACCTCCCTGGGGTCAAAAGACTTCTGTGTTCATTTGGAGAGCCCCAGGAGGCTTCTGAGGAGCTGCAGCAAGGGCAGGCTATGCTCTATGCTGACTGTGGGGTGCTGGGGGCAAGCACGGGCTGGGGGACAGCTGACAGCCAGCACAGGGTCTGGGCTAGGGGTGATGGCAGTGAGGATCCAGGAGCGCAGTCAGGAGGGGCCAGGGGTGCAGCATGACCCCTGGGTGTGGGGCCTGATGCAGGGGCAAGCGCCAAGACCAGGAAAAGAAAGGGGGCCGGGCCTGGGGAGACACTCCCAAGTTGAGCCCCAGAGACGTCCCAGAAGAGATGCAAGTAGGCAAAGTCAGGAATCCCCGGCCCCAGAACTCGGGCTAATGCTGACCCTCGGGTTTCATGGGGACAGTGAGTCCTCCGGAAGGCCCTGCCAGCTGCAGGATTCATTCTGGTGCCCGTCCTTCCTGTCCACCCTGCAACAGCGCTGTGCTCCAGGAGGACAAGGCCCACCGTCCAGAGCCCTCTGCACCCCCAACACCTCACTCAGAAATACCTGTCGAAGGAGCCTCAGCGGAGTGTGAGGGCCCACCCCAAGCGGACTTGCAGGGAAACAGCTTAGCAGCAAGCCCTCTGCTCCCTCTGAGGTCCCCTCAGAGGCACTGCACCCCACTTCCTGCGCCTGGACAGCACTGCCCAGGTCCCTGTCAGGAGGACTACCTGCCCTCACATCTCCCCAGGGAGAGCTCTTGCCCTCACCTGCAGCCACCCCTCAGCCGGGCGCCTATTCCAGGGCCAGAACCTTGGGAGACAGTGCCTCCCCCTCCTTAGCCTGGGAGCTCCCCGAGCAGGAATCAAGTCGAGAAGAAATCACGAAAGTTTCAAGCAGAGCGGGATAAACGGGGAAGGTGCAAGTCTAAGGAGAGTTGGATGCCCACAGCTCTCACCAGCGCGGAAACCTTGCCACAGGTGACAGGTGCTCCCTCCCTGAACGGAGAGCAAGCGAGCCCTTGCAATGGCCAAACAGCAGGTCCCAAAGAACACAGCTGACTTAGGACACGTCTCTAGGTAACCAGGGCAGCTCCAGCCCCTTCAGACGGGACGCACACTCTGCAGTCGCGGCCCTAAGTTTGCCTGTCCCCGGGGAACCGTGAGCCCGAGGGCCATTCCCAGGCCGAGGGTTTGACAGCGCTGCTGGACACGACAGGAAACCTGCGGTACCCGGACGAGAGGAAACAGCCTGGTGCGCTCAGCCGGCGCCGCGGCAGGAGGCAGGTGCACAGGTGCATACACCGGGAGCGCAACGGAGCGCCTCGGGCACGGCCGGCCTGAGCCGCATCGCGTCCCCGAAAGCCCCGCACAGCCCTCCCGGCGGGGCCCGGGGCCCTCAGGCCACGCTCGCGGCCAGCGGCGGGGCTGGGCCGGCGGGGCGCGGGCGGCGGGGTCGGCCCGACGGTGGCCGCAGGCCCTCGCAGGCCCGACCGCCCGGCAGGTGCGGCGGACAAAGCGCGGCGGGCGCCGCCGTACCTGGGCACGCAGCTGGGGCTGGAGCCGTCCACCTCCCAGGTGGCGAACAGGTTCATGGGCACCGGCGTGTTGAGCGCGCCGGGCGCGCCGGGGAGGCCGAGGCGGCCCCGCTCGGCCATGGCGCCGCCGCCGCTCCCTCGGCCTGGGCTGCGGCGGCGCGACGCGCGGGCGGCCGGCGGAGGCGCGGCGCGGTCACATGGCTGCCGGCGCTGCGGACGGCCGGGCCGCGCGTCGACAGCCGGCGGCGACGCTGCGGCGCTCCGCGCCCGCCCGCCGCCGCCGCCCGCCCCGCGCGGCGCCGCCGATTGGCCGTCAGGGAGCGCGCTCGCCGGCCCGGGCCAATCGCCGCCCGCGGGGGCGGCGCGCCCGGAAGTGAGTCGCGAGCCCCGGAGCGCCCGCCGCCGCCCGGGAGCGCGCACCGCGCCTGCGCACAGGCCCCGCCGGCGCGCCCGCTCCGCCCGGCGGTTGAGCGCGGGAGCGGCCAGGAGGGGCCCAGCGCAGCCGGGGTCCCCGGGGCTTGCCCCCGCGCTCCGCCCTGGACCCCGGGTCCCCGCGCACTCGGGGCGCTTCTGGTCAGCCCGCGGGTCCCGGCGCCGAGACTCGGGCGGCCTTTCCGGCCCTGCCCCGCGTCCGCGCACGCCCGGCGCCGCGGGAGCCCTTCCCCGCCGCGTGCGCCGAGTCCGCGCGGGTCTCGCTCGGGAGGCCCAGCCCGAGCCAGCCGACCCTGTCGCCGGGAAGGCCCCAGGCCGCTCCCTCCCCGCCAGGGCCGGCTCCAGCCGCAGCTCCCGAGCGCGGGCTGCCAACAGCTGCGGCTGCTCGGAGCCAGGCCCCCTTGGGGAGAACAAGGGAACCTGTGTTTCCCACGTGTCGCCGGCTCCCTTGGGGTGGTCTCCGCATCCCCGCCGGCCGAGGGGATGGTCCGGCCCTGCCGTTCCGGCGGCAGAGCCTGCGGGGCTCGCACCTAGGGATGGGGGAGGGGTGGCAGTGTCCAGAGAAGGGGTGGCAGTCGCCTCTGAGCACAGGCTGCCTTTGATGGGACGGCGGAAGACAGGGCCCCATTGACCCCAGCGTTTGGCGTGCGGTGCGCGGGACGGGACGGAGGGTGCGGCGGCATCAGATGAATGGGCCGCCTGACACATTGTGTCTGTGTGTGCCAGCGTCTACCCCGGCAGGGAGTGCGACAGGGTGGAGTGAGGACAGGCAGGGTGACTAAGCCGTGCACATTGGGGCTTGACACCAGCCGCCACCGATGGGCTGTACCCCACCCCTGTACCAGGCACTGTTGGGAGTCCTTAGTGGATATGATGGCTCTTTCCCATCCCAGTGTACGTCGGAAGAAACTGAGGCACTTGAGGTCGTGCAGGTACTAAGGTGAGGAGTCAGGGAATGGACCCACACAGTCTGGCCCAGGGTCACCCCAAGTAGCCACCATGGTACATGTGCTTAAATACTTATTGGCAGAGAGGCATGGACTCAAAGCCACTGTGTGCACCATGCCTGACTCTGTGTGTGTTTTTAAAGGTAGGATCATGTGTGACGCCAGAGTGTCAGTGGTGATGGGATTGGGGTCTTTTGTATTTTCCAAGTGGACAGGTGTGGCTTTGGTAATCAGAGTTATGTTTTCAGCCAGAACCTGTTGCTTGCACTGTCAGCGCTGTTTCAAAATGATGCTATGTTCATCTTCTTGTGGTCAGTGGGTTCCAGGATGAGCCCCCTGAAGCCTGGGAGGCACCCCTCCTTATGAGCCTGGCATGGTGTGCCCCCGAAACTCTGATGTTTGGAGCACATTTGCTCTTTCTGATGATTTTTTTCTTTAAAGCAGCATTGTAGTTCAAGACAAAGCCCTCTAGACAGCTGGGGTGGCTGGGGAGGAGGCCCCAGACAGGGTCCTTCAGAGACCTGGGGACCTAGGAGGACACCCTGAAACCCACTGCTGAAGACATACAATGTGCTGCCTGACCACAGAGGTGGTGAGCTTTTTTTTATACTTTTTCTTTCTTTCTTTTTTTTTTTTTTTTGAGAGAGTCTCACTCTGTTGTTCAGGCTAAAGTGCAGTGGCATGATCAGAGCTCACAGCAGCCTCAAACTCCTGGGCTCAAGTGGTCCTCCTGCCTCAGCCTCCAAGTAGCTGGGACTACAGGTGTGTACCATGACACTCAGCTAATTTCTCTGGTATTTTTAGTAGAGACGGGGTCTCGCTCTTGCTCAGGCTGGTCTCAAACTCCTGAGCTCAAGCCATCCTCCTGCCTCTGCCTCCCAGAGTGCTGGCATTGCAGGCGTGAGCCACCGCACAAGCCAGTTTGGTTTTTTCTTTTTTTAAGTGGATGAAAAGGCTCAGGGTCCCAGATGGCCAGACAGGACTTCTGCACTGTGAAGGAGACGGAAGCCCCGTGATGGCACGAGGTCCAGGCTCGGAAGCCCCTTCCCAAGGTCCCACTGGTGGGTGTCGCTGGGGTTCCCTCCACCTGCAGGTTAGGGCTTGAGCATTCTAGTCGGGGGCTCTGGACGGTGGTGGGCTCCTTGGAAACTCATTCATCCACCCATCCTGCATTAAGATGACGCTGATACGTTCAGGAGTGGGGAGTGATGCTGAATGAGGGTGTGGCTCCGCCTAAAAGAAGCCCCTCTGTGTGCCAGGGCGGGGGACTGCGGGGCTGGGGACCACTGCCTGCGCCTCAGCACAGGAGCACAGCAGGCCCCTGGCATGGAGGCAGCGGGGGAGGGCTTGCTGGCGCTGGCTGGGCTTTCCACCGCCCTCACCGGGCGCACTGTGCGCGCCTCTGTGCTGCTTTGGGGGCAGCTCCATCCGCTTGGCAGCTCCAGCCTGCAGCTCTGGGGTTCCTTTGCCCCGCGTGCAACAGCAGAAACCCCCGATGTAGCCTCTCTCACACCCACTCCCGTGAGGGACGCGTCACATGGCACTGAGCCGCCGTCACCGAAGCAGAGGTGAAAACATTTCCCAAAGAGGGTTCAGCGGGTCCTTCCTCCTGGACACACTTTGGGGAAGCCAGTGGGAGGATGCTCCCCGGGCTCTGTGAGGCCACCAGGATGACGGTGCCCTGCGGCAACGCCTGTGGGAGGCCCCTCCGCTCACGCTCACACTAGCTCACCTGCTTAGAGTTGGGTCTGGAGTCAACTCCAAGTTGCTAGAGCAGGACAGGGCTAGGTCAGCTGTGATAGAACCTGGTAGAACCTTCTACAGCTGTCAGGAATAGTAGGTAAAAAATAGCTAACGTAGAATGTGTAATATCCTATTTGGTTAAACAAAACATATGTGTAAATGCATGTACATGTAAAATATGTATTTACATGTAAGTGATTACACATGTAAAATACCTATTTTCAAGTAGGGGAAAAAATACAGGATAGGAATTGATCCAATGTGTTAAGAAATTGTCTCCATGTGGTGGGAATTCAGTTGATTTAGCTTTTCCTTTGTGCTTATCTTTATTTCATATTTCTCCATAACAGACATGCGTTAATCGTGTAGGAAAAATAATATGCGGTTCCGTCAACAAACCCTGTCAGTATGAGCAGGCTGCTGGCTGCTGGGCGCCATCTGGCTGGGGCTTCCCCCAGTCCTGAAAAAGCCAAGCAAGCAAAGAGAACCCCCACCCCTGCAACAGATTGGGGTCGATCTTGATAAGAATACCATTCCAAGCCAGGCACGATGGCTCACACCTGTAATTCTAGCACTCTGGCAGGCCGAGGCAGGCGGATCGCTCAAGGTCAGGAGTTGGAGACCAGCCTGAGCAAGAGTGAGTCCCCATCTCTACTAAAAATAGAAATAAATTAATTGGCCAACTAAACATATATAGAAAAAATTAGCCGGGCATGGTGGCACATGCCTGAGGTCCCAGCTACTCGGGAGGCTGAGGCAGGAGGATTGCTTGAGCCCAGGAGTTTGAGGTTGCTGTGAGCTAGGCTGACGCCACAGCACTCACTCTAGCCGGGGCAACAGAGTGAGACTCTGTCTCAAAAAAAAAAAAAAAAAAGAATACCATTCCACTGGTGTAACATCCTCACTATCAAAAGAAATTATGGAAACCAGTGAGACCGTCAATGAATCCCAATGGAAATGGTTAGAGTAGCCACAGGAGATTCACAGAGACTGAAACCATTTGCTAGCTGCCACCGAGATGGGGATTCTAAGTTACAACAAGATGCACATTCTACCTGTTTCCCTAATACCGATTAATAAAGACCTATTATGGACCAAAGGTCACAGCAACACCATCGAGTCTGTGTCTTCCCCACGGCTGGCCACTTCCGGTCACTCTTGGCACCGTGAGGCTCCTTCTGCCAGCTCCTGGGGGTAGGACCTGGGGCAGCCTTGGGAGTGTCCTGGCGGCAGTCTCGGGAGATTTGCCTGGGCTCATGCGAGTCCTGCGGCATCCTGCAGGTGAGACGAGAAATGTCGACAGGGACACGGGTACAGGTGTGTGTGATATTGCAAATAGCAAACTTGGAGAAAAAAACATCCAATGATGGGGAAATGGCAAAGTCAGCCGTGGCTCATCCAAAGTGATGCTCGGTCAGCTGTGCCGACGTGGAAGCCTGCTCAGGGTGTGTCACCACTTGGAAGACCGGAATGTGGAGCTGAACTGGCAGCGCGGCCGGGACTCGGGAATAATGCACAGAAGGACTGGCAGGCAGAGCCCCCGACTGTGGGTGTCCTGGGTGAAGGAACAAAGGCGCCCTTTGTGTTTACATTTTAATTCTTCTCTGTGTTTCCCACAATGGAAATACTGTCACAGTAGGCCAGGACATAACTTAAATATCAGAAAAGAAAGGAAAACGCCAAGGCCCTAAAACAGACATCGGCCACAGACACTCACAGATGACTCCCGAAAGGCAGAGCGAGGTCACTGCAGCGCCTGCAGGAATGACTTCTGGCTTTCCTCGGGGTTTTCTTTATTTTTCTAATGTTACGAAATAACCAAAATGTTTTTGGTAACCTGAAAGCAGCATTATTTCTTAAGTCAAAGAAATAAAGTCAGGCCATGTCTTAGTTCAGTCCGGCTGCTATAACAGAATACCTGAGACTTGGTAATTTAAGAATTATATAAATTCCCAGCACTTTGGGAGGCCAAGGCAGGAGGACCGCTTGAGACCAGGAGTTGGAGACCAGCCTGGGCAAGAGAGTGAAACTCTGTCTCTACAAATTTTTTTCAAAAATTAGCTGGGCGTGGTGGTGCACACCTGTTCCCAGCTACTGCGGAGGCCGGGGCAGGAGGATCACTTGATCCCAGGCGTTTGAGGCTGCAGTGAGCTGTGATGATGCCACTGCACTCTAGCCCGAGCAACAGAGTGAGACTTTGTTTAAGAAAAAAAAAAGAAAAAGAAAAGGAGCGAGGTATCATTGTAGAACCTCTGGGGCAGAAGGGCTTCTCAGTCAGAGTCTTTCAGGTTTGTTGTATGTTTGAAAATTTTCCGTAATAAAGCAGGGTAGTTGGGGTCTTCTTGCTAAAGTGCAGTGACCCGCAGTTCCTGGCTGTGCCTTCTTTCACCCCGCGAAAGCGTGCACCTGGTGGTGGGGACACAGATGCAAAAGTCCAAGGTGGGAACCAGCCGTCTGCCCACCTCAGTCAGTTCCAGGTGAGGCAAGACACTCCCTGCCCCAAGCCTGAGCGGGTGGAGGGTGGCCCTGGTGGACTGCAGGATAGAAGGTGAGCGGGAGGGGTGGGGGCCGGGAAAGAAACCTAGAGCCTTGTCGCAGGAAGGAACCTGCCCTCCCTCCAGAGCAAGCAAAGCCAGGGTCAACCTGGTGCCCTGAGGACCCTTCCCCGGGCCCTTCCAGACCAGACCCCTTCCTCCATTTATTGCTGCGTCTTGGGGTCACCAGATCAGCCAAGGCTTGGAGACACCTGTTGCTCTGTGTTCCGTAAGGATGTCTGGGGGACCTGGGTCCTTAACCTCAGGGTCTGCTCCCCAGGACACCCATCACAGCAGCACAGGTGCTCCTGCCTCACCTGGGCCTCCTGGCACCTGTGTGTGACAAACCGATTGGGGGTTCCTTGGTGCAGCCCCAGGGCCACTCGGACCCTTCCTGCATTTGCCAAGTCAGGTCATTAAAGGGTTATAGAAGAATCAGATACGTATCAGCTGAGTCTGCTTTCTTTCTCTTTCTTTTTCTCTTTTATACCTTTTATTTTCTTTTTTTGTGTCAGCAGAGGATGGTGTCCCAGCCTGCTGCAGTGTCAACTGCCAGGTTTGGTGCTCCCTTGCCCACCCGGCTGCATCCGCAGGTGAACTCCTTCCTGCCCAGGGAGCTACTCTGAGCAGGTGGGACTTGGGGAAGACTCCATCCCCAAAAGGCGGTGGCCATGGCCACACAGCTGCGCCCAAAATGTGGTGCCCCAGTGTCTCAGGACGTTCCAGATGCCCCGAGTTCGGAGACTTCACCGCGGGCTGCGGGGTGCAGGCCTAGATGGAGCTGTAGAAAGTGTTCGAGCCTCCTCCTCCCTGTCCAGGGCAGGGCAGGTGACAGCAGCAGGACCTAGGAGATGTTGTCAAGCCAGGTGACGTCCGACCAGCCGACCGACTGCCCAGAGGAGCCCTCCTGCCCCTTGTCTAGGAGGGACCCTGCGACTAACTGCGGGAGGTCACGTGGCGGTGGCCACCCAGGAGGCGGGACGTGAAGGACCTCGGCCTCGGTGGCGGAAGGTAGACTCGGACTCACCCAGCCTCACTCCATTGGGGACAGACAGGACCAGGGACTTGCATTCCGAGCAGCCTGTCTCTCAGACGCTTCCTCAGGTGTTTCCCACGCTAGGGTGGAGGCGCCATTGTCCTCGTTATGCAGACAAAGAAATAGAACCCTGGAGAAATGAAGGAGCTCGCCCACGCCAGGCAGCAGGTGGGAAGGTGGGGGAGGCTGCTGCGGGGGTGGGGGGTGCTTTAAAGTGCGATGGGGCTGGTTTTAATCAGGCACAGTAAGATGACAGTGCAGGGACAGCTGCCTCTGAAAGCAGAGTTCGAGAGTCACAGTTCCAGGAGGAGGGCAGGCCATGCCCTCCAGGGCCACACGGGGCAGCCCAGGGCCATAGGGACAGGCGGAATGAGGGGAAGGGCAGGTGAGAGCCCCATGGTGGTTGTCCAGGTGTGGCAGGGCGGGCAAGCCCAGAGGACTCGGGACTTGGTCATTCCGCTGGGTTCTGGGTTCTGGGGTGGTATCTAGCTGTCTGGCACCCGGCCTGGTGTGGTCTGGGACACGGGCTCTGGAGGTGCGGACCCAGGTGTCTGCTTTGCGTAGCGAAGGCGAGCACAAAAGCGTGCAGTCTGCTATCTGCAGGACCTGGCTAACCCACAGGAGCCCGAGGTGTCCCAGCGCCGTCCAACACAGAAAGTAAAAAGCATGACAGAAGCGCAAGCCACCGGAGTGGGCAGTTTGCAGATGCCTGGGTGCTTCCACCGAAACTAGAGCCCTACCCATCAAGTCGTTTTTCTCAGGCCCTGAGAAAAGAAAATCCTTCCTGGTTCGAGTTTCCCGAGCACAGTCCGCTCAGATTAAAGCTGCTCTCTCCTTTCAAAGCGACACCCACGGTGCTTTGCAGCTCTCCGGGCCCCTTGGAGGACCCTGTGTGCCAAACCCTTGGGCTGGGCCCCGCCTGCCGTTGTGATTGCTGGGGTCTGGTCTGGAGAAAACCCTCCCAGTCTGCGCTTTGACACCCCCCCCCCCGGGCTCCCTCTTCCGTACACTGCAGGTGGGCGTCCTGCCTGGCCAGGCTGGGCGAGAAGGAAAGAGGGTCACCCACATGGGGAGCCTCTCGTGCTGGGCCACTGTGGGTGTTCAGGGGCGGCCGGTGCCCAAGTGTCAGTGTTGGTCCCAAAGGTTCCCTGAGCTGCTGCTGTGTGCTGGCCGCTGGGGGTCCCAGGGGCAGCTTCCTTATGCCCTCACTGTGTGCTGGCGCCATTCTTTATACCTCACATCCCCACCCGCCCGTCCGTCTGTCCCCACCGCAGTAACGCGCTCCCACAGACTGGGTGACTTGTGAACACAATTTATTTCTTGGCCAGGCGCCTGTAATCCTAGCACTCTGGGAGGCTGAGGCGGGAGGATCACTCAAGGTCGGGAGTTTGAAACCAGCCTGAGCAAGAGCAAGACCCCGTCTCTACTAAAAATAGAAAGAAATTAATTGGCCAACTAAAAAAACATATAGAAAAAATTAGCTGGGCATGGTGGCACACGCCTGTAGTCCCAGCCACTCGGGAGGTTGAGGCAGGAGGATTGCTTGAGCTCAGGAGTTTGAGGTTGCTGTGAGCTAGGCTGACGCCATGGCACTCACTCTAGCCTGGGCAACAGAGTCAGACTCTGTCTCAAAAAAAAAAAAGGATTTATTTCTCACGTCTGGAGGCTGGGAGTCCAGGATGGAGGGGCTGGCACACGCAGCGTCCGGTGAGGGCCGCTCCCTGGTACCCGGACGGCGCCTTCCAGTCCTCGTGTGGGGGGAGGAGCTGCTCCTCCCAGTCTCGAGGGATCAGCCCTCAAGTCCTCGTCACCTCCCAAAGGCTCCATCCTGACGTGATGCCATCATCTTGGTGGGGAAGACTTCGGCATATGAGTTTGGAGGGGACACGCACATTCAGACCGTAGCACCCTGCCCTGTGGTCCACTCTGAGCACAGGCTTCTAGTTCCAGCAGAGCCCGCCTTCCAGCCTCTGCCCGGTGGATCCGCACTCGGAACCTCTGGCCCTCGAAGATGCTGTCCTCCCCACGCCTGCTGCGTTGGCTGGCGGCAGTCCAGTGCCATCAGGCAGGGTCTCAGGGCTGCAGCCTGGGAGGTGCCCCACTGCCTGCACCCCCAGGGCAGCCCGGGTGCCTCCCTCATCAGGGAGACCCTCCGGCAAATCGGGGAGAGCAGGGATTCATCGTCCACACAAACTCAGACTTTGTCACCTGCTGACTGTGTAATTTGGGGCTGTCACCCCTCGAACTCTCAGGGGGTTCCTTTATAAAATGGGGATAACAGTGGCTGTGACCTAATGTTGTCATGAGGCGTAAAATGTCATCGTGTACACAGAGAACATCTTGTGTAGAAACCAATCACAGAAAGATATTTGAGGCCGGGCGCGGTGGCTCACGCCTGTAATCCTAGCTCTCTGGGAGGCCGAGGCGGGCGGATTGCTCGAGGTCAGAAGTTCGAAACCAGCCTGAGCAGGAGCGAGACCCCGTCTCTACTATAAATAGAAAGAAATTAATTGGCCAACTAATATATATATATACAAAAAATTAGCCGGGCATGGTGGTGAATGCCTGTAGTCCCAGCTACTTGGGAGGCTGAGGCAGCAGGATTGCTTGAGCCAGGAGTTTGAGGTTGCTGTGAGCTAGGCTGACACCACGGCACTCACTCTAGCCTGGGCAATAAAGTGAGACTCTGTCTCAAAAAAAAAAAAAAAAAAAGAAAGATATTTGAGAACCCCCAGCTCTTTGGAAATGAGACAACACACTTCCAAATAACTCTGGGGTCCAAGAAATGGAATTTTGAGTTGAATAAAAATAAAAACACCTGCCCAGCTCATTTATGGCGGCTTTAAAAGAAATGAAAATACAACATATCCAAATGTGTGGGATTCAGGTAAAGTAGTAATTACGGGGAAATATATAGCAATAGAATGCCTATGGGCTGGGCACAGTGGTTCACACCTCTAATCCTAGTGCTCAGGGAGGCCCAGGCAGAAGGATCGCTTGAGGCCAGAAGATTGAGACCAGCCAGGGCAACATCGAGAGTCCCCCATCTCTACAAAAAGAAATTTTTTTAAATTAGCCAGGTGTGGTGGTGGACACCTGTAGTCCCAGCTACTCGTGGGAGGCTGAGGCAGGAGGATCTCTTGAGCCTGGGAGTTTGAGGTTGAAATGAGCTGAGATCGAACGATGGCACTCCAGCCTGGGTGACAGAGTGAGGCTCTAACTCAAAAAAAAAAAAAAAAGATCAAAATCAGGGACACAGCTATGAAAGGAACAGGAGGGCCCTTTCTGAGGTGATAGATCTGTTCATTGTCTTAATTGTGATGGCTGCACGAGTGTGTCCACTTTTCTAATAACCCTTGGATCAAACAAGAAATCAAAAGGGAAATTTGTCAAATTATGTTTTAAATATGTGCAGTAATTATATGTTAATTATACCTAAAAGAAGCTGTTAAAACAAAATGAAACTGGCCCGTGCGGTGGCTCACGCCTGTAATCCTAGCACTCTGGGAGGCTGAGGCGGGCGGATTACTCGAGGTCAGGAGTTCGAAACCAGCCTGAGCAAGGGCGAGACCCTGTCTCTCCTATAAATAGAAATAAATTAATTGGCCCACTAACATATATAGAAAAAAATTAGCCGGGGATGGTGGCGCATGCCTGTAGTCCCAGCTATTCGGGAGGCTGAGGCAGGAGGATTGCTGGAGCCCAGGAGTTTGAGGTTGCTGTGAGCCAGGCTGATGCCACGGCACTCACTCTAGCCTGGGCAACAAAGTGAGACTCTGTCTCCAAACAAAACAAAACAAAACAAAAAAACCAAAATGAAACCACTAAAGCAGAGTCGGGAGAAATTTTGTTTTATTTATTTATTTTTAAGACACAGAGTCTCGCTCTGTTGCCCTGGCTGGAGTGCAGCGGCGTGATCACCGCTCATGGCAGCCTCAAACTCGTAGTCTCGAGTGATCCTCCAGCCTCAGCCCTGTCCTCCTAAGTAGCAGGGACTACAGGCGCAACGACTATGCCCAGCAAATTTAAAACGATCTAAATAATGGGAGAGAAAAAAGCCAAGAAGAGTTTTCGGAAGTCTCACAAAAGTGGGAGTTCAAGACTTGCTGGAAGGGTCCCTGGTAGACGCGTCAGACTTCCAGTTTGATCCCTGAAGTGTTACACCTTGGGAGTAAGAAGCAGATCGACTTCCCCAAAGGCTGAAATACAGCTTGGAGTTGTATCAATACCTGATCACATCAAGGGATCTGCCGACACCCTATCTGATTGACAAAGAAAAATAAATTCTCCCTGAGTGACAGAAACAGCCCCCAGCACCTCCACAGCTTTTCAACACAAGGATCATCATTTCTACTAAAATTATCACGTGTGCCAGGGAAAAGGATCACATAAACCAAGAATAAACAGCAGACAAAGGCTGGGCACAGTGATTCATGCCTGTAATCCCAGCACTTTGGGAGGCCGAGGCAGGAGGATCGCTTGGGGCCAGGAGTTCGAGACTAGCTGCAGCAACATAGCAAGACCCCGTCTCTACTAAAAATAAGAAAAACTACCCGAGTGTAGTGGCTCAGCCTGTAGTCCCCAGCTACTTGGGAGGCTGAGGTAGGAGGAGGATCATGTAAGCCCAGGAGTTGGAGGCTGCAGTGGGCTATGATGATGCCACTTGCACTGCAGCCTGGGGAACAGAGCAAGACTCTCTCTCAAGAAGAAAAAAAAAGACAACAGTAACAACAAAATAAGCCTAATAGACACAAATTTATAAGTTATCAGATATTGAAACTATTAGAACAAACCTTAAAGTGTGACTGATATGTTCAAGAAAAAAAAGAAGACTGGGCCTGGTGGCTCATGCCTATCATCCTAGCACTCTGGGAGCCCGAGGCGGGTGGATCGCTCAAGGTTAGGAGTTCAAAACCAGCCTGAGCAAGAACGAGACCCTGTCTCTACTAAAAATAGAAAGAAATTAATTGGCCAACTCAAAACATATAGAAAAAATTATCCGGCATGGTGGTGCACGCCTGTAGTCCTAGCTACTTGGTTGGCTGAGGCAGGAGGATCGCTTGAGCCCAGGAGTTTGAGGTTGCTGTGAGCTAGGCTGACGCCACAGCACTCACTCTAGCCCGGGCAGCAGAGTAAGACTCTGTCTCAAAAAAAAAAAGGAAAAAAAA